TCTGATTACGTAATTCGATATTTTTTGAATTGAATATCTCTTATAATTTTGCGTTTATTACCATCATTATTATTAGAATACTCTTCATAGTTAATTTTTCTTCATAGGGTATTTTTTTTCATAGAAAATTTTGATATTATTTTCTTAATCTTTGAATTCTATTTGTTAATATTTGAATTTATTTTGTCAAGTTTTATATTAATTTTATTAAGTTTTCATTTTTATTTATAATTTTGAAGTTATTTTGTTTTCTTGATTGGAATTTGTTTAAAGTTTAATTTATTTGGTTATGATTTATTTCATTTTTTAAAGTTGCAGTTATACCATAATATTTTGGTAAACCTTGAATTTATTTCGTTAATTTTCCATTTTATTTTGTTGAACTCTAAATTTATTTTTTAGGGATTTAAAATTTGTTTTAATTATTTTTTTTCTAGTTTTTAGTATTTAATTTTGCTCATTCATGTTATTATTTTATGTGATTTGGTTTATTGCTTTATTAGCTTAAATTTTTAATACTGTTCGAAAGTTTTAGGTAAATATTTGAATTTTCTACATTTTTTTTGAATGCTATTTATAGTTAATTTCATTTTATAGTCGTTTTGAAAAACTTTGATATTATTTTGTTAAATTTCGAAATTCTAGTTGATAATATTTGAATTTATTTCATTGATTTTTTAATTTACTATCTTAGATCTTTATTTTAGGTTTTGCATTTATTTTCTCCATTTGCGACTTACTTTTTTTAATTTGTAATTTATTTGGTGAAACTTTAAATTTATTAGGTTATTCTATATATTTACTTTGAGTTTTAAATTTATTTTTGTTAGGATTTAAATTTATTTTGTTAATCGCATTTGAATTCCCTAGTAGAAATGTATCGTGGCTAGAGGGGTAAAATATCGTGGCGCAATATTCGAATCTTGTCTTTAAATGGACCGGACAATATTTGTTTTCAAAATTATGGAAAACTTGGAAAATTCATCGGAAAAGTGTTTTATATGGTTTATTACAAATAATAAACATGTTTTCCATCTGATTTACGCCTCTAATTCTATATTTACACGAATTATACATAATTTTTAAATGTGGGCGAAATCCAAGTTTTTGTGGCCGACCAAGATTCATTTCTTCAGTATTATCGAACTTGGGAAATATGTGGTATTTATAAGGGTCACGAAAAAAATTAACTTTAGATAATTAATTAGCACAAAAATCATGATTAAAGCTTTTAAAAAGTCATATGCTCGATTGCAATTGCTAGTTTGATACATTTTTCTTATAAATTCAATATAAATTTTAAATGTGGGGGTTATGCATTTTTTTCTGGGCAACCACGATTCGTTTCTTCAGTATTATCGAACTTGGGAAATATGTGGTATTTATAAGGGTCACGAAAAAAATTAACTTTAGATAATTAATTAGCACAAAAAACATGATTAAAGTTTTTAAAAAGTCATATGCTCGATTGCAATTGCTAGTTTGATACATTTTTCTTACAAATTCAATATAAATTTTAAATGTGGGGGTTATGCATTTTTTTTCTGGGCAACCACGATTCGTTTCTTCAGTATTATCGAACTTGGGAAATATGTGGTATTTATAAGGGTTACGAAAAAAAATAACTTTAGATAATTAATTAACACAAAAATCATGATTAAAGCTTTTAAAAAGTCATATGCTCGATCGCAATTGCTAGTTTGATACATTTTTCTTACAAATTCAATATAAATTTTAAATGTGGGGGTTATGCATTTTTTTTCTGGGCAACCACGATTCGTTTCTTCAGTATTATCGAACTTGGGAAATATGTGGTATTTATAAGGGTCACGAAAAAAATTAACTTTAGATAATTAATTAACACAAAAATCATGATTAAAGCTTTTAAAAAGTCATATGCTCGATCGCAATTGCTAGTTTGATACATTTTTCTTACAAATTCAATATAAATTTTAAATGTGGGGGTTATGCATTTTTTTTCTGGGCAACCACGATTCGTTTCTTCAGTATTATCGAACTTGGGAAATATGTGGTATTTATAAGGGTCACGAAAAAAATTAACTTTAGATAATTAATCAACACAAAAATCATGATTAAAGCTTTTAAAAAGTCATATGCTCGATCGCAATTGCTAGTTTGATACATTTTTCTTACAAATTCAATATAAATTTTAAATGTGGGGGTTATGCATTTTTTTCTGGGCAACCACGATTCGTTTCTTCAGTATTATCGAACTTGGGAAATATGTGGTCTTTATAAAGGTCACGAAAAAAATTAATTTTAGATAATTAATTAGCACCAAAGTAATGATTAAAGCTTTTAAAAAGTCATGTCCTCGATCGCAATTACAAGTTTGATACATTTTTCTTATAAATTCAATATAAATTTTAAATGTGGGGGTTTTGCTTTTTTTTTCTGGGCAACCACGATTCGTTTCTTCAGTATTATCGAATTTGGGAAATGTGTGGTCTTTATAAGGGTTACGAAAAAAATCAACTTTAAATAATTAATTAGCACCAAAATCATGATTAAAGTTTTTAAAAAGTCATATGCTCGATTGCAATTAATAGTTTGATATATTTTTGTTATAAATTCAATATGAATTTTAAATGTGGGGGTGATACATTTTTTTTCTGAAATTATATTGAAAACCAATATAAGATTAATATAAATAAACAATATTTACCCCAAATTCAAAATTATTATTTTAACCCATATTTAAAAATATTATTTAATTCATATAGAAAACAGAATTTAACTCATTGATAATATCTTAGGTAATACATAGCTCGATCAGCTCGATCGTAATTAATAGTTTGATATAAATTTTATATGAATTCAATATAAATTGTAAATATTATATTCACATTTATTTTTTCTTTATTATCGAACATTTACATTGGGAAATAAGTAACATTTACATTGGTCAAGAAAATAATCAATTTTAAATCATAAATTAGCGCCAAAAACATCTATGGTGACTCTTAAAAAACATATTTTTGAGAATTAATTAATTAATAGCTAAATTAATTAAATCCATTATTAAACGTGAAGATATGCAAAAATTTTCATTTTCGATATTCGTCTCATTACTATAACTACCCTACGGGAAGTTAAAAAAGCAATAAATAATTTAACTATATTGTATTTATTTATTAACTATATTATTTAACGATATTTTAAGTATGGCCATCATTCAATAAACAAAACAAAAACAAAATTATACAAGATTATAATAGTGCAAAAGTATCAGAATATATATATATTAAATTTAAATAATGTGAGTAAACGAGAAAAAAATGTAAACAAAATGTTTGATAAAAAAACAAAACTTCGAATAAAATAAAAGTTAAATAATAAAATTTTGTGATTAGTCACATGCCTTGCTTAAATTTGTTTTACCCTGGTTTGGTATGTATTAATATTATTTAAATCTGTTATATCTGCTAGTAATATATCGATTTATATTTATAAATTTAGACGTTTTATATTTATTCATAGAATAAAAATTTCTGAAATTGCATCATATATACATGTATGTATGACCATACCATATATATGTACGAACATCTGTTTTTGAGAAACTACTCAAGAGTGTCTCTTCTTTCTTTCATATAACCGATGTTTGTATAAGACTATCTCACTTCGTGTACGATGCGAGTCCTTTCTTCTATGCGTGTCCTTTGTCCTACGACGAAATATTCTACCTGACTGTGTCAGTTGTGGCCAAAATTATTTTATACGTATTTTATGAACAAATATTATGTCATTGCACTTTTGTTTTATCTTTTTGATAGCAATTATTATTTATATTACTATACTAGTTTATTATTTATATTAATGTTATTTAAGAGTAAAAGTTTAATTAAAAAATTAACTTAAATTCAAACGAAGATTTTTTTAAATTTATTATTGTGTACATAGAAAAGAGTGTGATTATAAAAAATGTTTGTTGGTTAGTTCTTGAAGAAGGAAAGAATCCATAAGCCCAAAACGTAGAATAAAATAAGTGAAATATTAATTTTGTTTTGTGAAGATAAAATTTATTTTATATAATTCAGAAAAAAAATCAATAATAAATCTAAATATTTAAAATTTTATAAATATAAACATATTTGATATAATAATAATTAATGGCGTTTTTATTAATTTCGTTTTGAACATTTTCTAACTAACGTTTCACAGATTATGTAATTTACTAACTATCTCATATTGAAATGAATGAAAAAAGAGTTATATATAAACTTTGTTATATATAAAGTTTTTTTTAATGACTACTACACTGAATAAACTAATAACGACAAATTAATGAGCGTATACTTCGTAACATAAAATACAAAAACATAAAAACCGCCCTTTGATTAACAATGCTACACCTACACCATCAAACAAAGCGCAAGCCAAGCAGAGTTTCGTAATTTTCAGTAGACTGAAATTTGTTACGCAGTGCGTTTAGCAATTTTTGTTGAATTTAGAATTTGTTATAATATTAAAAAATATTCATAAAATATAGTAAGTCTTAGTTCGTGAATTTTGAGTGAATATTTAGTGAATAATAAAATGATCTATGATATCAAATATATAATAATTTGCTAAAAACTTATTTTGTGAACAGTTTATAATTAAAATTAAGCGGTTAAATAACGTAATTTTGAGTTTTATATTTAAAGCACGTAAGTATATTTATTACTTATATAAATCAACATACATATTTAGTAAACAATGATGTATTTTATATATTCTAGATTGACTAAATTGAAATGGATATAAAATCAGCTGTAATATAAAAACTATCACATAGCAAGAATGGATTTGGTAAAAGGTAATAAAAATATTAACAAACTTATTAAATGAAGACTTTTCAATAACTTATTATCGCTTTTGAATATTTGGTATTCGTATTTCCAACAATAGTTTTTTTGTTTTAATTTGAAACTATAATTGAGCTGTTTTAAATTAATGTTAAAATTTTCTATTTACTGTATTTTTAATTATTTCAGATTTGACTGTGATAGAGTTCTAGAAAATATGAGTTTTAGATAAACTACAATTATATTTACTGCAAAATAATGCCTGAAATGTTTTTTTTGCTAAAAGCTAAGTAATTGAATTTATGAGTTTATAAAATCAATATATTTCGAAAATATTGCTATAAAATATTAATAAATTTTATCTTATTTCAGGTGTAATCATGATCGAATTCAAGAAAATGTTAAAACATGTGTGAAAATAAAAAAAACATCGAAATAATAATTAAGTCTGCAAATTGTTTGAATGGCTTGGTCTTTGTACAATTACGGCGATAGGATTAACAAAAATTATGATTATAATTTATCATTAAAATCCTCTAAATTATTATAATGACTGAAAATATTTTGATTGTTTTGTATCTTGTTATCATAAAATAATGTGTAAATTGTTAATAAAGATATCAAGATTCAATACATAAACTATTTAAAAATGTATGTATTCATTTAGAATAAATAAACTTTTATTATCAATGAGTTAAATACTGTTTTTCTATATAAATTAAATAATATTTTTAAATGTGGGTTAAATAATAATTATGAATTTGGGGTAAATATTGTTTATTTATATTGAGCTTATATTGGTTTTTTATATAGGGTAAATATTGTTTATTTATATTAATCTTATATTGGTTCTCAATATTGAGCTTATATTGGTTTTGAATGGGATTTTAATATTGTTTATCAATATTGGTTTTATATGGGGCCTTTATTGGTTTTAATATTGGATTTATATGGGAAAATGTTAACAGAATAATATTATAGCAATATTGGTAAACAATATAGAGCCCATAAAAAGTACAATATTGCGCCACGATTCATTTCTACTAGGGTTTATTTTGTCGTATTCCGTATTTACACTTCAAATTTTTTTTTCAGTTTTGAATTCATTTCGTTGAGTTTTTAATTTTTTTCGTTGATCTTTAAATTCACTTCATTTAATTTTATAATTTATATCTTAAACGTTTTAATTATTTTTTTTTACCTTCAAATTGATTTTGTTTAACTCTGTTGCCTTGTATAAATTTGAATTTAGTATGTTTAACTCGGAATTCAATTTACTATTAATTTTAGTCATCTGTTTGAAAAGAATATTAATTTTTCCATGACCTTACCTTTGTTTACGACTTTAACTTTTAACTTTTTTAAACTTTTAACATTTAACTTTTTTTAGTTTTATCTTCGAGAAATTGCGAGTAATTTTATTATATTCACATATATATCATTTTTTACACCAATTTTTGTATTGATTTAATTCCAATTTTCATTTTAAGTTCAATTATTATTTCTGCAATATGCAAAAAAGCCTCGATTATTACTCCGCGCGCGCGGGAAGACAATTTTAATAAAAAATTGTGATTTTGTGAGTGATTTTTTTTTCATTTGAAAAATGTGATTTAGTAATTTTGTTAATTTTCTTTTTTGTTTTTATGAGCAATATTTGTGTTTAGCGTAATTTGTGTGAAAGTTTGTGTAAAAGTGGTGATAAGGATTTTGTTGGAAAGGAAAAAGTATTGGAAAATTCATGTACTAGGAGCAACTGATTAAAGGTAGGATTTTATTAATATTTGATGTAGTAATTTAATTCTTATTAAATATATATATATATATATATATATATATATATATATATATATATATATGTTAACAAAAAAAGATAAATTTTACGTTCATTATAGGTTGTTTTGAAAAAAATTGGTACTCTGGTAGATTTACCAAATAAACTTGAACTACACATTTTAGAGACAATTATATTCTTTGTACATTTGTTACATTGAATTTTTGTTTTACGTAAGTTGAAATTTAATTCCTGACATTTAATATGGTATAGTCATATTAGATCTCTTCAATACATTTTTGTATGAAATTTGCTTCTGTCGTATTATTAGGCTATTACGTAATTTGAATAATTTGACAGAGAAAGGTCAGAGTCCAAAACATTCAAATATTAAATTATTCTCTAAAAGAAACTTTCAGCTATGTATTCAATAAATTGTTAGAAGAAAAAAATTAAAATTTTTGAGGAACTATACAAGTTTTCAGTTTAATAAATATACCATATTTTTTTTAACTTTCACGTGGCAAATGATTAATCAAAATTTTCCAAAAATAAGCCTTGAATTTGAGTTAGATTTTTAGTAAATAATTTTTATTATGCGTACTTTATCATTACTCATATTGAACAGTATGAAAATTTATTTTAAAAATATAAATAAAAAAAATAAAATCAAATTTGCTAAATTTTAAAATTTTATATAAATATGAAATTGATAAATTTACATTATTTTCTTCATTGATTTACAAATTTTCTAGTAAATTTGCTTTTTGCCAAATATACTTAAAACAAAAAAATCGATATTTTACCATCATCTATTTGAATTTATTGAATCGTTTGTAATTTATAGAAATATTTATATTAATTTGAAATTTTTTTCACCATATTTCATTACCACTTTTGTAAATTTATAACTTTGTAATAAATTTGTAAATTTATCCAAAATCCTTCATGTAAGATTTGCCAAATACACTTTTCACAAAAAAATTTTTTCTATGTAGAAAGATTTATAATTTCAGAAATTACATAACATGATTTGTCACCAATATAATTTTATAAAAAAAATTGTTTTACTGAATACTCACCTAAAGTCACATCTGGAAATAAATAATGATTTTGTTAATAAATTCTTAATAATAAGAATTTTGTCAGATTTATTTATGATACAAAATTAATAAAGAAAAAACTTAAGCCAAAAAATTCAAGATACATTTGTATATTTGTTTATTCATTTATTTTGGCTCAAATAATTTTCGGAATATATTTTTGTGGAGATAATTTTTATAAATTTTTATTTTTGATTCTTTAAAAAAATTAGTAAATATTAATTTGTAACAAATTTGCAACGAATATCAGATGTTTTGGTAAAATCTGAGTATCGGCATTTTTTAAAAATTTTGCAAAATATAAATTTCATACATTTTTTTCTTCCTATAAACAAATTTGATGAAAGTTACGAAATGAATTTTTAATACTTACTTGAATTTAAGTTTGCCATCAATGATATTACAAATAAACAAATATATACATGAAATAATAATAATATATATATATATACATATATATATATATATATATATATATATATATAAAATCAAAAATCTTATTTTTTCATACACAACCGTTTTTATCATATCAACCACTTCATTTTCGAATAAATTACATTTACGTATTTATACACCCGATTATATATAATTTAAAATTACTAAACTTACCTTAATATTTAATAAACATATCCAACAATCTAAAATTATTATATACACATGATATTTTATCAAAATTCTGTTTTTAAATTGATTATTTTAAAACGATTCTTTTATTTACCATCGTTCTATTATTATATGCATTGTCGTTGGGGATTATTAGTAATTTATTTTAATACTTATATACAAATTTATCACTAGTTTTTTTTCGTAAAAAATGTCTTTGGAATTTAATGGTTTCATCTTAGTTGTAGTATTAATAAAATTGGTAGAAAACTTAGTCTGGGAAATGAAATTTTGAGACCTCCGTTGCTCGTTTGCATTGCTGCTGGATGTTCACCTGAAAAATAAAAAAAAATTATGAAAATTTATATGAAATTTCTTTTATATATATATATATATATAAATATATATATCAATAGATTTTTTTAAAACATCGTCTCAATTAAGAGGAATCAAAAAAATTAAAAATTTTGAATCTTGCTCACTAATTATTCTGTAATTCCAGAAATAATTTGAATTTGTTGTTGTTGAATTTGAAAAAAAAATCGATTTTTTTAAGCCTCTAAAGCAGGCTCTCCCCTAAATGATATCATGAAGAAATTGCAAGGTATATTTACTGTTTTAAAATTAGTTGATTAAATAATCTTTTTTTTTAAATCATTGAAAGTAAGGGCATGTAAAAAAATATTTCTGGTAGACTGTTTTTAGTAATAAAAATTGAAAAATTATTATTAATTACTGGTTGACTTTTTTTTCTTATGTAAATTTAAACAGGCGTTTAATTTTTCTGTCATTTTTTTAGTTCTAATTATTTTTAAATTAGAATTACGTGCGTTTTGTATTTGGTATTTAGAATTTTGTTCTATGACATCATTCTTACAAGTTATTATAATTCTTAATTTTATATTATGATCCTGCGATTTTTTTATTTCATACACTTTTTATACTTTTTACATGAAGATTAATAAAATTATTAAATTTCGTGAAATAAAAACAATCGTAGAATATTTTATATTTGTTACCAATGATTCAATTCCATATTACTAACTTCCCGAAGGAGATTTTCATAAAAAAATCCTATTCGCTAATTTTATGTTTTCTCGACGTTTCAAGCCATTCTGAATCGGATGGGACCAAATTTGGAAAATAATATGTGTATGTGTATATATGAATAGATTTTTGACTTTTTGTCGTTTTTTTCTCAAAAACTGCTGAACCGATTTCAAAAATTTAAACACCATTCGATGTATCTCGATGAGGATTATTGTTTTGTGCGACGGTCGGCTGAGCCGTTTTTTTGAAAATAGCAGATTAGTCAAAAATTTTTCTTCCATTTCTCAGCCCTCAATTCTGAATCGATTTTGAAAATCCAAAAACTGTTCGAAAGATATTGGTTGGGAATGATACTGATTAGTTTTTGGTAAAGAACGACAGAGTTGCAAAAAATTTGTTTGCTGATTTTGATCAAACTTTTTCACACATTAGATATTTACATAGACTTATATAAAAAATGTTACTATCAATGCTTAGACTGGACGTTGAGTTCAGGGATACCCCGTATATCCAAAAAAATATTGTCAATTCAAATTTTATAAATTGTTAAAAATTCGTCAAAAATTGAAAAATCATTAGCGTTTTATTAACTTTCCGTAAGAAAAAAAGTTATTGTAATCGTCCAAAAATGGAAAATGAAAATTTGTACATTTCTTCACGTTTTGAAGCTTTTTGAATACCTCATTTTTCCTAAGAAAAAATCGATGTGTGTGTGTGTGTGCGGATACAAATTTTCGTCAACGATTTTGGGAACACCGATCAACCGATTTAAATAATTCCAAAAACATTCTATTCGTATTGATAAGGAGACGTTCTGATTAGTTTTTAGCAAAGGCAGGTCTAGCCGTTTCGAAGATAATGGGCAAAACGGTAAATGGTTACTGAGTTTTTAAAATATTTTATTAATTCAAAAAACATTTTACTTGTATTGACAAGATGAAGAACTGATTACATTTTTGGGAAGGCAGGTCTAGCGGTTTCGGAGATCTAATAAAAAAAGTAAAAAAAAATGCCATTTGGCGATCAAAAATGATCATTAGACATATGCGCATCAAATTATCAGATATTTTATAGAGATTTTAACAATAAGTATAAATTTTGTTTACATTCCTATGGGTTCCGTACCAATCCTTATCCGTTAGACGACGGCGCGGCGCTTACGCGCTTCCATATTTCGTCTCTATGCAGTTAACAGTACGATTGCTTTGAAAAAAAATTCAGAATTTCCAAAATATTTGAAAATACACTTTTCTTCAAAAAGTATTTTTTTACAAAAAAAGTTATTTTTTGTCAAAAATTTATGGTTTCTCAAAAATCAAATTTTTTCAGAGTGAAATTTTTTCAAAAATGTTAATCCTTAAAAAAAATAATATTTTTGATACGGGAAGTTCCAACAATTTGCCTTAAGGCACGATGCCATGCGCTCCACTAGTTATTTCAAAGTTATTTCAAAACATGTATAAATGTGTACCCTCAAAAAATTTTGAATAGATAGACTCACTAGTTTTTTTTTATTTTAATTCCCAAAAATGGTCTTTATTTAGGTTGTCACACTAGGTGTACCCCCTTTTTTTTATTTATTTTATGGCATTTGACCGTGTGGTCATTTAGCCTCTTATTACATAAATAATATGTTACAAAATTATAATTACCAGAGAAATACATATTTTACAAATTATTTACAACATAATATTGCGACTTAATTCTTAAAACCTTAACTAATACTTTATTTTTAGAACTATATTTTAATGTTACATTTTTGTAAAAAAAAAACAGAAAAATTTTATATATATTTTCATCATTAGTAGAAAAGGCTATTTTAGTGTTAATAGGAAAAATAAAGTTATATTTATACAGTTCTTGTAAGAATGTTCTTTGATTAGCATAGAGGTTGCACTTCCAAAAGATGTGGTCAATATTGTGTATTTCTAATCCGCAAGAACAGAAGGGGTCTTCTGCCATGCCAATTCTAAAAAGATGAGATTTGCAGAATGTGCGGGCCGATCTAATACGATTGATAACGGTTATTTCGTCTCTGTTCAACCTAGATTTGGCAAACCAAGTACTGAAAGGTGTGCCCCTTAACAATATAACATATCAAGACCACTTCTAAAACTATTTCTTATCATTCTGATTAAAATGCCACAAATTCAAAATTCGCAATCCGTTTCTATTACTATTCTTACCGTTCAACACGTGCACATTGACACTGGCCGGAACCGCTCCGGAGGGTACGCAAGTGTAGTTGCCGGAGTCCCTCAATTGCGCCCGCGTCAGCAGAAGGCGGGACGTCGTGCCGCCGTCCGTCTTCTCGGTCTCGAGCGAAATGCCGCCGCGCGGAGAGTCGAAGTCGACGACGGAACTGCCGTGATACCTGGAGGGAAAAAAATCACATATACATTTATTAAAATTTATATTATATCACTAATAATACATAAGATGATAAAATAAAGGTGAATTCAAAATTTAAAAAATGTACCAGGATTGCACTGCCCTTGATAAACATAAATTATATTTTATAGTAAGATTTAAGTTTTTTTCATTAAGATAAAAAATCTTAACTAAAATTATGACTAAAATATTAAGGACGAAAAATGATTAAAATACCAAAGTCGCTTTAAGAAAATAGGGGTTGGTGATAAACAAGGAAAAATTTAGAGATGGTAACAACCTACTCATACGAAGATAGACCCGTAACATAGCATCACAATAACATTTTATGGTAATGCTATGTAACGAGTCTATATTCGTATGAGTGGGTAGTAAAAAGCTGTGTCAAAAGCTATAAATTTGCTGCGTGTTCAGGCGTTTTACACAAAAAACCTAATTTTACGTTTGTGTTTTCTCAAAGATGCACAGATAAAGTTGCTATTTACACTATACTAACTAAGAAAATTCTTTTCGTGAATTCAATGAAAACATTGTAGATTATGGCACAATTTTTAACAGAATTATGTTTTTAAACCTTTAAAATGATAGTAAAAATTAGGTTCGAAACGTACTAAGTTAATGATTTTGATACATTTTATATACAAAATTTTATTATTATTACTACTTCTTTGAATGTTTCAATAGACTTATAAGAATCGCATTCGATTTTGAGAGAGAACTTGCCTTGAAATACTTTTTAACTTCCCGTAGGGTAGTTATAGTAATGGGCCAAAAAATGAAAATAAAAATTTTTGCATTTCTCGACGTTTTGAAGGTTTCTGAACATTTTGGCATACCTCAGAAAATATGGATGTGTGCTTATGTATTTATGGATACAATTTTTGTCCACGTTTTCGGGCGCACGGATCAAACAATTTGAATGGTTCAAAAAGCACTCGATTCGTATTGATAGGAAAATGTGCTGATTAGTTTTTGGCAAAGCCAGGTCCAGTCGTTACGGAGATACAGAGCAAAGAGTGCAGAAAATAGAAATCGAGTTTTTGAGAGAACGGTGCATACAATTTGAATGATCCAACAAATATTCAGTTCGTAATGACGGGGAAAAGTGGTTATTAGTTTTCGGCAAAGGTAGGCCCAGCGGTTTCGGAAATACAGAGCTAAATGTTAAAAAAATGGCAGTTTTTGAGAGAACTGAGCGTCCGATTTAAATGATTCAAAGAACTTTCTGCTTGTTGCTTGCTTGTTTCAACAAAATAATTGCTTTTGGAAAAAAAAATTGTTTCTAATTTTTTTTTAAAAAAAATGTTTTTGTAATTTTGGATTAAAAATTCAAAAACCCTAAGCTAAGCACAGTCTAAGCGCCACTCTGGTGCTAATGTTTACCCAAGTGCGTTTAGACTGTTTATGTACTAGACCACCTTTCCAACTTTGTGAAAACTATTGAAAAATGTGAAAATGCCGCAAAGCTAAGCACAGCATAAGTGAAAATGTCGCACAGAATTATTTGCAAATGCGTTTAGACTGTGACTATACAGGAGCACTTTTTCAATTTTGTGTAAATTAGGCAACTAATTTTTTGAAATTGAATTTGAAATGCCATGACGATTGTTAATGTTCTGGAGATAAAATGATTTATGATTTATAATTTACATTTTATTTGGTCAGATATAACATGATAGCAAAAATAATGGAAGTAATAGTATTTGTAATAATATTTTTGAAAACGTTTAAAATTTCTCGAATATTTCATTACAGTACGGGAAGTTCCTGCAATTTGCCTTAAGGCACGATGCCATACACCACTAATTTATTTTCTTACAATAAGCTCCGAGTTGTAAAATAAGTAAATAAAAATACGCCTAGACAACGTTCTCAAGCCCAACGTCCATTCCAGTCCTAATTTATACTCCTCCAACTAGATTTTTAACCATTTAGATTTGAAACATGCTCCACTATTTATTCCCTATATATTCACCGCAAATATATTTATCTGTTCGCATATTACTTTTCTACACATATCTCATATCTCGTATGTAATTCCATTTATATTCATGTACTTATGCATTTTAAAACGCTCATAAAACATTACCCGAGGACAGATGAGTACCAGGACGAGTACGAGGACGAGGTCCTTTTAGTAATTATATATATATATATATATATCTGTATGTCTGTGTCATGTCAACAGAACTGAAAAATTAATGTTTTATTTCCACTACGTACTTCTTGTGCTGCTGCAAATCCGTAATGCAATTTCAAATACGAAACGATTTTATATTTATTCGAAACGGTAAATGTAAATGTAAAAGTTATACGAGGATATTTTTATGACTTGGTAAATATTCAATTTGAGAAATATATATATATATATATATATATATATATATATATATATATATATATATATATATTGAAATGAATAAAACAGTCAATGCGTCGAATGTAGAAAGTTTATTTTAATTTTTCATACGTTTCGAGACTAGATGTGTCTCATCATTCAGCAGATCAAGAAAAAACACACTTTACTATCACATTTTTTTTTGTGAAAAATGTGATAGTGAAGTGTGTTTTTTCCTTATCTTTTTATAAAAAAATGTTTTAGCAAAATTTACTCATTTACGGCTCATTATTTTCAAACTAAATAAAATATTTTTTTTAAATTTTTTGATTATGGCTACAATCAATACTGTCATCGCTGACGTTGAGTTCTGGGACACCCTGTATATATTATATATATTGAATTAAAAATGACAAAATTTATATCATTCTTAAGATTTGTCTATCTGTAATATACTGTAAAAATAAATATAGCATAATAAAATACTATAAGAAAAAACAGTGTAAGTTTTTTGCAAAGTCGTTCAAGTACTATTTTCTTAATTCGACTTCCTTTTAAAAAAAAAATGTTTTCTGTAACTCATACCATTATTATTTTAGTTTTATATAAATTTTGTACGCAAAATATTCTTAGAGACATATTAGCTTGCAAAAATTCAATAATGTAAGATATTATGATATTATAAATGAAGTATTAGCAAAAAATAAATCAATAACACATTTCTCTAAATTTAAAAAATATTTAAATAAAAAAAATTATTTAAAAAAAAAATAGCTGCACTTACAATTTTTGAAATAGTGTATTTTTGTTAATAACATAATTATTATTATAGTTTGTGTAAACTTTATCCCAATAACATTATTAGAGAAATATATATTTGCAGAAATCACATTAATACATTTCTTTGTTACTAAAAGAAACAATTCAATGAATAATATGAAAAATATTACATAACTTTCACATCATTTTTCAATTTCACACATTTCTTACCGAAATTTTAGGCGTTTTTGAATTACTATATTTACTTTCTCTACATTATTTAAAAAAATCTTTATATTTCTATAATATTTGTATTTTTCAATACGAATATAGATCAAGTAAGTCATTTAACTATTGCAAAATTTTATTAGCCTAAATTTGTGATTGAAAAAACATTTTACTTCTCTAACAATTTGCCTTAAGGCACGATGCCATACACCACTAGTTTTTTATTTATCTCTGCTTATAAAAAATATTAAAAATGTAATTACTGATTTTTCATACTTGACTAAATTTTATTACATAAAAAATACATAAATTTTATGGTAAAAATTTTAATCAAACGTCAGAAATGCGTTTATCAACGAAGTCGATTTTTATACACATTTCTTTTTTAAATTTTAAGCATTTTTTTAATTAATATTATATTTATATATATTACTATATAGATACTTTTATTATACATTACTTTTTTACATTATTTAAGAAAAATCTTTGTTTCTTCTATATCAAGTAAGTCATTCACCTATTCTCAGCCTAAAGATTGAAATTTGATTTGATTGAATACTCGATTTCTCTAACAATTGTCCTCAAGAAACGACACCATACACCACTGATTCTCAATTTCTCTCTTCTCATATTATAGATTAAATTACCGATTTTTCCATCTATCCAAGTAAATATTAACTGAAAAAAAATTCTCGTCCATGTTTAAAATTATGTCCCGGCGAAAGAAGTTCAAACAAACTCGGGTGGAGTTTCTGCAACGTTAATACGTTTCGCATTTTTTTCACTTTTCTTTCATATTTATCTTGTAATATTAAAATCAACGATAATATAAACAAAAACGAGGAAAAGCAAAAAAAAATGTGCTAGAAAAAATTGTAATGAAAATATACGCTATGAAATTATAAACTTTGTAATATAAGACACATGTATGTAAGAGAAATTTAAGGTGGAGCTAATAGAGAAGATATAAATTTTTTTAATTTCATATGTATATCATTCGTTGAATTAAAAATACTTGCACTACATATTAGGGTTTATACAAAAGCCGACATTTCAGAAAACGGGTTTTCGAATTTTAATTTTACTAAAAAACCGGTTTTAACCGGTTTTCGAATTTTATATAGAAAATAATTTTTTACTCGAATATTCTGTAATTTATCCGCACATTTAGTATAATTTAGAGCAGCATTTGACTGAATTTTTTTAGTGTTCAATTTTATTGATAGGAAACAAAATTATTTTAAATTTATTTAGTAGAACTAAAAAATAATAGTTTATCTTGATTAAATAACTTTAAAAATAATTATTCGTTATTCATCCATCATTTTCACATATAAGAATGAAAATATTTTTATGGTAGTGAAAAGAAAGTTTTTATTTTAAATAAAAAAATGCATTAAATTAAAAAAAAGCAAAATAATAAAATATTAGATCCATGTTGATACATACTTGTTAATATCAATTTTAATTTCAAAAACAATTAAGCTAAACTCGGGTACTGTCTGTTTCGAGCAATTTTACTTAATCTTACAATTATTTATGCAGTTTTATCTAAACTTCATTCTAAAAATATTTTTACAGGCATATTGGCTTGCAAAAATTAAATTCGTGTAAAATTTATAGTATTATTATTATATTAAATAATATAGTAGAAAAAA